GCAGGAGAGGCTCTGTATCTCTGAAAACCAGGGCTCTTGACCTCTGTGTCTTCTCCAATCTGTAAGTGTTTAATATTAAATTAGATTAAACCAAGTTCTCAGTTAAAGTTCCACTGGCAAAGTCACTGATGGCAGATTTTTGCTCTTCAGGGACTTTCAAAGCCTAATCACTAGGGTTGCCAGATACTTTCACAAAAAATCCTGAACATGGCAGGGGAAAAAATGATTGGGGTGGGAGGGAACCAAAATGGGACCAAAGTTGTTGGGGGAGGGAAAGTCACTGTGCCTTTAAATCCACATGTGCCCTGCCCCACCCTACCATCTGAGGGGAAAAAAAAAACAAAAAGACATTTCTAGTTAACCACACAGAGGCCAGCTGGCAACCCTGTTAATCACCACTCAAGTGTTTCGTATTCCCAGGAAATGCAAAATACCATCTGTATAAGGGCTTCCTGTCTGAAAAGGGCTTTCAGATTCTGGGCCAAAGGTGCTATAGAAATACAGCCTGGCCAGTACCACCTGATCCTAAACTGATGCTCTGAAACTACTGAGCAGGGGCCCTGGCTGTTCAGTGTCCTGCCCTAAGCTCTGGTTACAAATAGTCTGGTTCAAGGCCATTTGAGTGTCAAAGTCTGGATCACACGGGGTCTTCATATTGCACCTCCCAGGCAATATTATCCACAAGAGCAAAGGCTAGGGGTTGCTCCTGTCGTCCTTGTTTAAGAAACTCTACTTCTCCTTAACGAGTGAGGTCCTCAGCTTTGCCAAGATGCTCAGCTCCAAGGAGATCTGCAGGGCAGAGGGGAAGCTCCGGTCACCTGGGCTGACCTGCAGCATAGGGAGCCACTGGGGTCAAGATCTGCTCATATTGATCCGGTGGATCGGCTCTAGGGCCAGGGGCAGGGCAGTGAGCACGGAGCCAGCCTCAGACTGAGCTTTCTCCTGGGATGCCCCTTTCTGAGCATCCCAAGGGGGGGTGGGGAGCTCAGATCTTGGGCTCTGCCGGGGCCAACTCTGCTGGGCTGCTCCCTGCCCCCCTCTGCACTCCTGAGGTTTCCATGGCTCCCACCGCCATTTCAGAAAAGCTCCTTCATCACCCTGTCCAACATCCGGGCGGCGGAGAAGGTGGAGGAGAAAAGCTTTGGCAGCTCTCACATGATGCAGATCATCTACACCAGGGGTTCCCAAACTTTTTGACATGGGGACCAGCACCCGGGCGGGGGGGTCAGCTCCTAACTAACGGAGGAAGAGGCTGTGTGGGAGACATGTTTCTGGTCCTCCCCAAGCCCCCCAATGCCAGCTTTAGCAAAGCTTTTGATATGGTCACCCACAATATTCTTGCCATCAAGTTAAGGAATATGGATTGGATAAATGGAGTGTAAGACAGACAAAGCTGGTTCAGAAAGGGTTTCCCAAACTTCTTACTTTAGTTGGAACCCTTTTTTCCCCCGTACTGCTTTTTGCAGCCCAAAAATATAAACACATAAAAAACAAACCGAGAAAATACCAGATATATAACATGTCTGGTATTTTCTCATTAGGTACGTTTTATTATTACTAGATGTATCAGTTTGTAGTTTTGAACTGCCTGGCTGGTAAACGTGCTCAGGCTGCATGAGTGTGTCTATCAGCCAGACAGTTCGCAACTACTCGAGGGGTGTGTGTGTGGGGGGGAGGGTACAGTAGAATCCCTGTGCCGGACTAACTCGTGCTTTGTGGGTGGGGGGGGGAGGGGGGCGTGGCGGGGGGGTGGGTGTGGGGGGGGGGGGGGGGGGGGAGGACAATAGAATCCCCGGGCCGGACTAACTCATGCTTTGTGGGGGGAAGAGGGGAACAGGGGCAGCGCCCCAAGATCTACATATGGCCGGGTCAGCCCCACTCCCCGCAGGCCAATTTATTCCTCCCTCCTGCTCCCTCCGCCTCTGCCCAAGCCTGCGCGTGGCGGGGGGGTGGGTGTGGGGGGGGGGGGGGGGGGGGAGGACAATAGAATCCCCGGGCCGGACTAACTCATGCTTTGTGGGGGGAAGAGGGGAACAGGGGCAGCGCCCCAAGATCTACATATGGCCGGGTCAGCCCCACTCCCCGCAGGCCAATTTATTCCTCCCTCCTGCTCCCTCCGCCTCTGCCCAAGCCTGCCGCTGCCTCCCCTCCCTGCCACCACCCAAGCCTGTTCCCTACCTTTTGCCTTCCACACTGTGGCCCCGGAGGCCACGCTCAGGCCCCGGAGGCTGAACCTGGAGCCAGCATGGCCCTGCCACGTGCCTCCGAAGAGTTTTAAAATCCCGGGCTGTGATGTCACGTCAAGCCCAGGCGTCCTCCATGCCCATGTGCAACACCACGCATGGGCAGCAGCAGGTGGTGAGGAGGAGCCACGCATGGCAGGGATGCGCGGGGGGGGAAAGCACGCGGGGGGAGAGGCCCACTCCTGCCCCATACAGAGCTGGGGGAGAGACCTAGCTCCACATATTGGTGGAGCAGGGCCCCTGGCTCTGTAACTTGCCAGCACTTCTGGGTTCAGGGATGCGGGGTCTGAATCGGCCTAAGGCCGGCCCCACCGGCAGCCACCAGGCATGGAGAGGCCCGGTGTTTATTTCCCGTGGCCCGGTACTGGGCCGTGGCCCATAGTTTGGGAAACGCTGATCTACACCGATGAGGCGGGGCAGCTGGACCCCCTGTAGTGCAAGGTGGACTTGTCACCCAGGCGGGGGATCAGCTCCTAACTGAGCAAGAGGCTGCTCAGGAGACTGGAACCCAAGGGTCTGGCAGTGGCTGTCAGGTGTCTTACCCGCCCACCCGTACCCCTGAAAGTGCAGCAGGAGTGGGGGTCAGTCCTATGCCTGCAGGCTGGCCCCACGGCTGGGGCTCTGACACCCAGCTGGTTAAAGCACTAGTGCAATGCACGACTGGCACCCCACAGCTGGGGCTCTGGCACACAGGTGGTCAAAAAGCTCTAGTGCAATGCACAACTGGCACCCCACAGCTGGGGCTCTGGCACCCAGTTGGTTAAAGCTCTAGTGCAATGCACTACGGCCCACCCACCGCTGGAGCTCTGGCACACAGGTGGTTAAAAAGCTCTAGTGCAATGCACGACTAGCACCCCACAGCTGGGGCCCTTTGCTTTGCGCTCAGCCCGACGCTCACGCTGTGCTGGGGAAAGCCGCGGGGGCTGCTGCCCAGCTGATGCGGGGGGGTCGTGAGCGGGGACCCCAGTCAGTG